CTTTCAATACCTTCTACTTTCACTGTAACTAGGGCTTTGACTTCAAATAAATTTTTTCTATAACATTTGACCACATTTCTTAATCAAAAGTGTGTGCTCCTATCAAGACAGGGTACATTGTCTCCTACTGGCCCCCTAGCTGAGGGACCAACAGAAATGCGGCAAACTTGGTAGAAACTGGGCTACAGGCAAAATAAAATCCTGTTAGCAAGTCTAATGAATTCAGAATGAGTTCTGTCCCTCTAATAAATATTAGTTTTATTTTGTGGCATGTGCTGAGTGCTGTTTGTAGCAAGTGTTTGCCATTTAACCTAACTGAAATTGAGAGACTAGAAAAACAGGTGGCTGGGACAAGATGCACTGAATGCAGCCTCTTTCACATTATTCATTAAAATCACTAGTCCTTCCCACCACTTCTAAAACAATAAATGTATCACCAGCAAGACTGGTGGAATGGCTATCCAGCTTCGCCAAGTCTAGAGGTCTTAATATTTATCACTTTAATTTTACCAGATAGATAGATAGATAAACTGACTCACTATGCTACACAGCAGAAATTAACACAATATTGTAAACTGACTATATTTCAATTTTTAAAAGACTAAAAGATTAGTGCTTTAGGCAAAGTGCCATCAACCTAACCTCTGGGGAAGGAGGCTGGAAATTGAGTTCAACCATATGGGCAACAATTCAACTAATCATGGTTCTGTAATGAAGCCTCAATAAAAATTCAAGACACTGACGCTCAGGTGAGCTACCTAGTTGACAATTGTCTCATTTTGTTTGTTCGTTGTTTTTTTATTGATGTATAGTCGACAATTGTCTTTTTGAGTGTTGTCACACCTTATGTGTAGCCAGGAGGATGTAATGTCTGGACTCCAGGGAGAGAGGACTAAAAGAAGCTTCATCTATGGGACTTTCCAGATCTTGCCCTGTGTGTATCTTCCTTTGGCTGGTTCTAATGTGTATCTTTTTGCTATAATAAAACTATCATCATAAGTTAAAAAAAATCTTACCACATTCTAACTAACACTTGCTTGGTCTTAGGAGCACGGCATTCCTACTGACATGGGCTACGCGGTGGCCCCTCACCATTCAGGCGTCTACCCTGTGCACGTTCAGCTATACGAGGCCTGGAAGAAGGTTTGGAATATTAGAATCACCAGCACTGAAGAATATCCACACCTGAAACCAGCCAGATACCGGAGGGGCTTCATCCACAAAAACATTATGGTGAGCTTCCCCTGGTTTGCATAGGGTACAACTAATTCTGCCAGATTTATACTCTTCATTGGAAGAAAGAACGAAAGAGAAGAGCAAAATATCAAAAGCATAATAGGGGGCTGGGTATAGCTCAGTGGTAGAGCACATGCTTAGCATGCACGAGGACCTGGATTCAATCCCCAGTGCCTCAGTCCCCAGCATTAAGAAAAGCTCCATACAAGCAGGAAACATATTTTTATCTAAGCAAAGGATGTTTTAATTAAAGGAGCTTCTTTTCAATTCTTCAAATATAACTTTAAAATGTTTTTTACTGACACTACTGCTATAAAGCAGACACTGATGTCAAAATACTAAGGAAACATTACATCTAACGTGCGGATAATTTATAGAAGCCATCATTTCTTCCAAAGGTTATTTAGCAAGTAAAACTAACTCCATCTCTCTCTGTATTAATAACTGTGCCGCTCTTTTACAAGCCAAACCGTGTCCTTCCCTTTATCATGTCAGACCAAAAAGGAACTCAGCTATTTACAGCAAGAAGCCACATGTCCTCCATAATCATTAACAGATCAGAATACAGAGTACAAATGAGAGGGGGTGTTAATTAAGTCATTTACATACACTGTCAAATTCTCTCCAAAGCTTCTCTATTTTGTGTTGTGTTTCTACACTGGTGACAAATGTATAGTGTCAAGATATATTATTCCCTAATACTTTGTGAGACCTCGCAAAGTAGGTAATTAAATCCCACTTTTCCCCAACTCAGAAAATCCAAAGAGAACTGGTGAAGTTAGGAGTGGGCCTCCTGATTTAGACGCACGGGGAAGGAGCCCCATGCAGAGCACTACATGTTCAGGCCCTATAACTTTGTCAAACTGTGTTTGAACAGATGTCTACTCTTAAAATTAGGTGTAACTGATTTCTTTTCAGACAGTTTTCCTAGATCTGCAAAAATTCCAGATTGGATAATGGCATTTAACTTGGATCAACTTCCATCTTAACTTTCCCCTCAATAAAAACTGTTGTAAATGCTCAATGGGGACATAATGGCCACATTTCATCCCAGTCTGCCATTCCCCTTTACTGAAAATGAACTCACTGTGCCTCCAGCTGCCAGTCTTTTTGACCTGGGTTGTATTATAACGTAAAAGCAGACCAATATTCGCCTGCCATTTTTAAATCACATGCAGTCTTAGTAGAACAGTAAACTTAAGTCTCCAAGGACTTTATTGAATGGTATTCTCTTTTATTTCTGTTTCTTCTTGTACTGCCAGGGGACTTGCTTGGATATGTCACATGAGATACGTTCATTTTGGTCTCTCCTGAAACCATGTTTAACCTGTACTGTAAATGCATGAATCTTGCAGTAATAGGGGCTCTAACAGAGTTCCTGCTTTGATGGAACTGTCCCTGTGGTTTCTTTTATGCAACAATCCATGGAAACTCTTATCGCTTTGTGAGCCCTTGGATGAGAATTTCCAAGTGGGGGGTGTTCAGCAGGCAGTTGGTTGTGCAGTTAGAGAGGGAGGACAGGGCTTGGAGTCATCCAAGTAGAGCTGTAAGTTGAGAGGACAATAGCCAATATGCCCTCCTGGGGAGAGACTGCCAAGAAAAAAGAGCAGGGAACTGAGGAGTGAACCTTACCTGGATCACACCCATATTCTATTGTATGAGAGGAGGGAAACTGTGCTTTTTTATGATCTATTCACAAATCAAACTCATAATGCCTTGAATGAAACTTATTATCTTCCCTTTCCACCAGCTTACGCCATCCTACTGTCCCTAATTCAGCTCTGCCATTTGAACATCACACTGACTGGGTCCTTCTGATCAGTCTGTACAGTCCATTAATAATTCCTTTATAATACATACTTTATTTCCTTCCTTTCCCACAGCCTAATTTACTGCCCTGACTTCCATGTGTAGACTGTGTTCCGACTTTGCAGCGTCTCCCACCCCTCACTGCAGTCCATTGTGTAGACAGTGCCAACCTTTTAATCCTTCTAAAATGCTGCCTTCATCTTGGCCTTCCTAACCTCATTCCTTCTAGTTCTTTCCATACCCTTTAAAAGCTCTTCAGGGACCTGAAAGCAATTTAAACTAAGTCTATCTTTCTATTTCTTATTTTCCTATAGCTCACACAGATTCACTCCAGCCACAGAGGTCCGCAACAATATTGCTGTGTCCAGGACTTTGTCATTCTTTCCACCTTGAAAGACTTTCTGACCACTCTCTACCTATTCCTATTCCCTTTGTTCCTCAATGTCAAGTCCCATAACTTACAGAATTTACTGTAAAGCACCTTGGCATATGTACAGCAGCTCAGTACCTAGGTCAGGCCTATACTGATCTTATTCTCCTCCCAATTCCTATAACACATCGTCTTGTAAGATTAGGAACATAAAAACTTACAAGATTTCAAGGTGTTTGCACCCTAACCAGAGTCTCTGAGGCTTCTGTCCTATTGCATTGTCTACTGGGTAAGTTTTATCCTCACTCAATAAGGAACTGATGGAAAACCAGGACTCTCTATCCTACCCGCTGGTTGTTAAATGTGACTCTGTGGAGAGAGCCAGAGACCTTTAGGCAGTTAAACTACAGATCCTGATTATCTGCTTACTCTTTCTAACAGAGATGCCTGTTGATAGAGACTCCCATTAATCCTGCTGGCAGCCTCCTACGTGATCTTTACTGGGAACATTTATTGGCAGTTATCCCAGATTTAGGCCTTAGGTAACAGGATATTGGCTTGAGGTCCCATTGGCCAAGGTTCTTGTTGGCTATGGCTTTCATAACCATCTCCTAGTTATTGTCAGCAGCTATAAGGCTTCCAGGGGCTCATCAATGGCTCAGAGTTTGAATATGATAGTGTTACACTCCCAGAAACAATTCTAGAAGGCAGTTCCCAACAGAATGCCTAAAACCCTCCTATTCCTTCCCTACACAAGAGAGCTGTTTCACGGAACATGTTTGGTGTCCTGTAGCATTGTGTGTAGGGAGCAAGGCAATGGGCATGACCCTGTTACACTCGGATTATCTCCTCAGCTTCCTTTGGTGGTCCACTGACCGTCCTAGGGCTCACAGTGACTCTCACCCTCTCTGCAAGGGTGATCCTCCCCAGAGTTGCAGGGTGCAGCCTGGCACTTTCTCTTCCCTCAAAAATAATTTGAGAAATACACAAAACTCACATTTCTTTTCATTTCTCTCTCTCTTTCGCATAGAATCATCTAGGCAATCAAGTCCCAAAGATGGCTCTGTATGTTGCCATAGTTTTTCAAGCAAGATACTCAGATTGAATCTTAAAAGCAATTCAGAATCACGCACTTTCAGAATGTAAACTTGGCATTTAATTACATGTGGGCATCTCATCATGTAGCTTTGACGTATTTCTCTTTACCCTAACATACCTTAACTCCTTCAAAAATAGAAAGGATATATCTTTGTGTTCTCCCACATGGACTTGCATAGAGTTTAGAAAAAGTATTTGTTAAATAAATGAATAAGTGCTATATAAAATTTAATTTCCAGAAAATTACATTTCCATGAATTGTTAAGGAATATATTTGATTCAGATAGGATACCTTTGCACTTTGTTCTTTTTTGTCATTGATTTTGTGCATAACACTATGAAACTGTGTAGTGCTTTAAAATGTAAACATAATCAGAGCTAATAGTCTGCAATGAAACTGAAGTTGTTTTAACTATTTCATCAAGATAAAATAGCTTCTAGAGATATAACTTTAGTCAGTTTACCAAAATAAATAGGATATATAAAGTTTTGAATTACACAGCAATATATATAATGTACTGATTGAGCTGAGAAGTATGTTTTCTAGGAAAATTTTCCAAGGACTAGATTGAAATTTATTATAATATATATTCAAATAAAAGAAAAAGAACTAGTATATGTATAGAGGGTCACAAGGCATGAGGAGTCCAATACAGGTAATATTTCTAAAGCACTTACTGAACCAAATATGCTTTAAAATCAAGACCGAAAACATGAAGATCAATTTGCTTAGGATAATAAGCAGAAGACCCACCTGGGTAAGATTCTGTAAAACTTATATCTCTCCAAAGTATACTCATTAATTTTCTGCTACTTCAAGTATATAATGACAAATGCATACCTTAAAGAAATCATTCTATAAAATCTAGCTTGAGAGTGGACCATCTTGCACAGCTCTTGTTCACACCTTCTTTTATAATTGTACTGATATTTAACCAGGAAAGCTGTAAGAATTTGAAAAAATGTCCTCATCACAAATATGGGTAATTGAAGCAAATAATGGCTTTCACATACAAAGGATGAAGAGAAGGCTTTTTACAAAGTGATCTTTTATCATTTAGTTTGTGACTCTTTATAAAAATTACTAATCAAATGCATAACGTCCTTCATACTTCTGGAACTGGCATGCTTCAGACTTAGAATTTAGGGCAATTACTACAGCCTGCAGTAGTCCTTTTAGACTACAGCAGAAACTATGCTTTGTGTCGCAAATATTTATTCTAATTTAAAATGCCATTTCCTAAGAATCACATTAGGTTAATAATTGACTTCATTTTCTAATGCACATGTAGAATTTGATAGAAGTGACATCCTTAAAATTTTTGCCTATTAGAATTACAGTGTAACATAGGCAATTCCAATATTTTTAAAGTCTCCTTTTTACTTCCCTTTTGTTTTATTTCTTAAGATTCTGGAACATATGAGACTTCATAACAGAAGTACTGACTTGGAGGTTTAAAATAGATAAATGGCTAAAATAATTCAAAGTCCTTTTTAGTTTTAACATATTCCTTCAACTCAATCTTCAATATTCCAGCTATACTGATATCAGCCCCACCTTCCCAGATTCTGAAAGACTTTCGGGATATTCGTTAAGAGTTGAATAATGATACCAGCTTGTCATAATCTTCCATGAGAAAAAAAAAAAAAGAAGCTAAGTTTCAACTTATTAGTTGGTTGAAAGGAACTTTTTCCTTACTTGTTCATTCTTTTAGGTTCTTCCAAGACAAACCTGTGGGCTTTTCACTCACACAATTTTCTACAAAGAATATCCAGGCGGTCCAAAAGAGCTGGATAAGAGTATCCAAGGAGGTGAACTTTTCTTCACTGTGGTCCTCAACCCAGTAAGTACTTTGAGTTATTTTCCAAATAAATAATGAAGAATGACAGGGCAGATGACAAAGAGGCCAGGGTTTTGGTAGTTATCAGCCAAATCAATATGAAGTCTCAGTTCTAAGACAGCAGTAAAAACTAAGTGGAACCACATCTAGAAATGGGGCAAACTAATTCTACAGGTGGTAATGACATAAGAACTTACAGCAGAGCCAAGGAAGTGCTCCAGCAAACACTCTTCTGCATTGTAAAGTGATCAAAATCAGAGATTCCTGCTTTTATGCAGAGTAATATTTTACTATAAATCAATATTTAAATATAAACTATAAAACTCTCTTATTCTCAATGGGACTAGTTTTTTGTTTTTTGGTTTTTTTCCATTTAGGTAACCATTACCTCTATTTTTTTTTTCCTATTTAAACTAAAAGTAGACACAAAATGGGAGAGGAATTAGGTAAGCAAACATGGTAATTGTTGGTACATTCACATTAGCTCTTGTCTTGCTGGGTCCTTAGGCTAGGACAGAGCAGCCTGTTTTAATGGGCCACTGTTCCTCCTTCCGATACCAATGTGCCAGCCCCAAAATGAACCATTTGTACTTATTCCCGCTTGAGGCAAGTATTATGAAGTTGTATAGAGAAAGAATTGATCGAAGTAAGATATATAAGGAAAAGAAGAGTTTTTTATTTCCCTTCTGAAAACCACTGACATAAAAGTAAAGCTGTGTTTATTTACAGTAAATTTGTCCCTGACATTAGCAATATTCAAGACAAAAAAACTGTAATTTTCCAAATGTTGAAAAAAATTCTATCAGCATGAAAGTTGGATAAGATAGGGATAAAGAGAAAAAAATTTGAAAGACCCCTCTCTTGACCTTAATTGTATAGGTTTTAGGGAAAATATTAAAGTATTTCTCATCATCTACTTGTATTCAATAACTATTTCTCAGTTCCTAGAAAATGAGATAGAAGTAAGGGTAACTCATCTTTGGGCAAAATCAGCATATGTATTCAAAAATTAGGACAATGTGAGGTTGTGTGACATTTGGCCTTTTGGAAGTTTATCAACCTTCATACCTCCAAAATATAAATAATTCTGATTTATATATCAGAAATAATCTGATTCTTCTAACTTCCTATTCTTTACAAAGAATAAATACCTTTGGAATTATCTCACATGGCTTTCTTTTTCTCTATTTTCTCAATTCAGCCAGTAATATATAGGCAAAAGAGTTAAACCAATGCCTAATTATGAACTGAAAATTCAGTTAAAATATTTTAAATATCCTAACATTTTCACCAATAATTTTAAGACTCCTTTACTCCATAATCTGTAAAATTCTGATGTTTTATATTTCCTTTCATCATAGAGCAATAGGACTATGAACAGGTAATAATCTGCTTTGGCACTTAACAAATTCCTGGTTGTATTGTAGTTTCAGAACTTTCTAAACCAAATTAGTTTATTTAACATGGAAGAAATTCAAAATTAGATCATTCATGTTCAATAGATTTATAATAAAGATTATATTTTTACTAATTAAAAAGCAAATCCTTTTCTTAATTGAAAAAAATTCTTGTAGTAAAGCTTATTTATGTTAATCTTGAACACTACTTTGGACTAAACTAACTGAACAAACTCTTTAAATGTTTAGCAGACCTTGCTACTTTTCAGGCCTTTATCAATCATATTTGGCAATTTTGTTTGTCTTACTGAGGGGATCTACAAGGAATAAAGGGGAAAAGAATTTCTCCATAAAAATTGTTCTTTCCTGATTCAGGAAACTTTCATTAGGTAATTATTTTCAGATAAACACTGATATTCAAAATAAATGACAGATCTTGTCAGGCACCATAAAATATGCAAGGAATCCAAATCAACTTCACCTGACAAGCCAACTCCAATTTTGGGAAGCAGCTGTACTTCCCTAGAGATTTATGGTTAAGTTCACTCCTAGACTCAGCTCAAGTTTTGCCCAAGGGAAGACTGCTATCATTAGTTAGTGATGTTTGTCTTGCAGAACAGAGTGAGGCGTGGTGGCCTGTTTCCCATGAATTCTCCCTCCCAAAATGTTCTACTGTTACCAAAGTATTTTTCACCGCTAAAGAAGAAAGTGTCAGCCATGTAAATTTAACACAAAGAGTTACAAAGACAATGTTAGTGCTGCATAGGAAAGAGAAAGCCTTCTCCAACTGAGTATTTCCAGAGTCACAGGCCTACACACCTCTGATGCGAGTTGGATGTAGAGATTTTGATTAACAGATTTTGAGGTTCAGGTGCATTTGGGAGGTGGGCCCATCAGACTATCTGAGCCTGGGACCACGAAGAATTCAATTCTTCTAATTCTCTTTCTGATTCTAAACTTAACCAGCAACTTTCTGATTAGACTTTGCTTATATAGGAATTATATAGATTTGTACTCACTGGCACAGTAATTTGCAATGCAATTTTATAAATCTTTCAGTTGGTGAATAGTTCCCATGTAACCTGTTAACGAGGAGAGTACCCTCTAATTGTACATATTTTAATATTTCAGCTCCTCTATAATTTCCTGTTCTCCATCTCTTTATTCATAAGTTTCAACTGGCTTTGTTAATTTGACTCTGCCCCTGAGAGGTGGACACTGTCTCAGTGTACCAAATCAGATTTTAGACCCCATCAGACTCTGAAGTGTTTGTTGATTGATTCAGGAGGGTAATGAGAAATACCTTACAGATATACAGGGGAGAATGCTACTAGAACTATCCCAGAGTCACTGTTAGCTACAGACACACAAGCACAACATTTCTACAAATCATGTACTACACCCACAAACAGTATTCTTGATCAATTTGTAGTGCGTCAAGTACCCTCATATATACTTCGAAAAATGTGAGAAAAAGTCTACTTGACACACCTATATAAAATAATATGTAAGGGGGTACTAAGAACTGAAATATATGAAGATGACAAAAAAGACTCATTGACAATGACTGCACCTGCCCTCAATAAATAGAACCTTATAAATTTACAACATATATACTTAGATTAAAAAACCACTAGTAAGTATACTGTCAATCTTAATATGAGTTTCCAGTTCCACCTATCTTAGGAAGATGTGATAATACTTAATCAGTGTGACAAATGGAATAGTTCTGAATTAGACATGATTGTTCCTCTTGTGGGAGCCATATTATCTTCTATTGCCTTGAAAAAAGATGGCCCCTTCCTGCTCCAGTGTTCTTATTTCTAATTACAAAACGTTCTGAGTCCTTGCTTATGTTCTAGTTCAATAAAAAGACTGTAGGTATTGAGTCATTAACGACTGATATCTGTGGAACGCTTTGCTTTCCTCCAACATGCTTGATAATAAAGTCAGTGCTTACTTTACTTAATAACCCAGAAGAGTTGTGGATTGCCAGAAGATTCGTATTCTTGTTACACTTGCTTGGAAGTCAAGTGGAGAAATCCCTGACAATATAGCAATATTATAGCTCCTTCATCAAACTGCTAAACACCCCATACAAACAGCAACTAATTCCCTTATGCTCATGTTTTATTGAATACTTTTTGTCTCTATGTTTCTCAATTTGATACAGCATCCATCCACCATACTCTCCCTACCCTCCTACCCAGTTCCCTGAAAGCCAAATCTAAGTTGTGTTTCTCTAATCAGAGAAAAATCATAAACACAGTGAATATGATGAATGTTTTGAACTGGGAGTAACACATGAGAGAATTACAATAAAATAAAACAACAAAATTCATACAAGAAGATATTAACCCACACTGAATTTTTTAAAAACCTATAATTTACATGTATAGGACTTAATATGTGCTTGTCTATAAAATCTAACAGGAAACAACGTTTTTTCCTAACAGGAAATTTTATGTTTCTTTCTTTGCTTATTTTCTAATCCTGGAAAACACTTTAATAACAGAAAACCTTTTATTGAAAAATAAATGATCAACAAAAACAATTTTGAATAGTAGAAAAATAATTCCCGAGCATGCCTAATTATGAGTATTAGGTCTAGACTTAATGCGTCGGAACCTCCTGTGGACACTTTTGGGAATCTGCATACTTATCATGACCTTTAGGTGATTTTTATGGTCAGGCAAATTTGGGAAACACTGCAGAAGAAAAAAATGGAGAAATAATTTTGGTAATCAGAGATTACCAAAAACTGCCATGAAAATTGTGGGCCTATGATCAAGGTATGAGAATTGAAAATGAGCCCAAATGTGCAGTAGGATTTTTAAAAAAACAATGAGAACGAGTATCTTTCTTGGTGACCAGAGAACTCTAGTTTGATTTAGAGTTTAAAATAGCGGTAACTCCTGTTTATCCTTTAAAACTTAGCTTAAGGGTCACCTTTCTCAGGAAACTATCTCTACTCTGGTTTAGAAGCACCTCTTTGTGTTCCCACCACATCCTCTACAGACTTTTTCAAAATACTTACTACTCTGCGTTGTAAGTGCGGGTTTGCTATTAGGCTGTTTGCTTCTTGTGGTAGAGAATGTCTTTTAACTCCAAAACCATCCCAGTGCCTCAACATGATGCCTTGTACCTAGTTTCTATTTGTCATATATTAAGGAAGAGAAATTGACTTCTCTAATGACCTGGTACAAAAACAAAAAATAAAAATAAAAACAACAAAACAGTAAATCTAAAAGGTAAGGAAATCTGGGTCCTGATGATTCTCAAATCAAAAGCATAAGTAAAGCCTGTATCATGAGTTGGATGCAGCTGAATTATGTATTGTTGTGTACTGTTCTGCACACATGCGGTTGTCTCTTCTGTACAGACTCTTGTTTTCATGGAGTTCATCTGGGTGAAGGACTGGAGAGTCCCTCCAGTTACCTCAGCTAATGCAAGTGTGGGATTCCAGAAGGCTGAACACTCAGGATCCATAGGATTTGAAGGGTTCTTCTGAGTCTAAAGCGGATTCAGGGTCCAAAAAATGATTTTGATCTTGCCTAAGTGCTTTAATACAAACACAACAGATGCTTTTCATGTGTCTGAGTATCT